GCTCATGAAGACAGAAAAAGAACATGAGCCTTTGAATCATTTGTTTGGATTCGGAATTTTATTAGTGAGACATCCACTTCTTATTCCTACAGTTTATGATTCCTTTTTGTTCTAGTCATTATTATTTGCAGCTTCCATTGTTCCTACTCCATAAAATCATTCTATCCCTTATTTCTTTTAACTAGTAGAGCATTTAGAGAGTAGATTTATATGTTGTAATGATGTTGTCTGATAAGATGGGGGAGAGAACTGATTTGAGTTGTTCACCAACCATAGGGCTCTCTTGGTGGAGCTGATGAGATCTAAGGTGGTGGTCATATATATATAGATAGTGATGGGAACATGTTTGCCAGCAAAGTTCATTCAATTTGCATATTGTTCACTATTGTGTATGACCCATAGAATAGTCCCCAATGAGCTAATTGTGCACCGAATCATATACCCATAAAATGACTTGCACAAAAATCTGTGCCACTGTAATGCAAATCTCGACGATTACACTGCACTCCTAATGTCTTTGGCATCTCTCAACTTGCTTCTCCATGGATGCAGGGAATCATGGATGGTTAAAGCACTTGAGATGAGACCTCCAAATATATTGTGTCTTCTTGTGCTTCCCGTGACAGTGGGAGGAAATATTCCAACTTCGTTGTCGAAAACAAAGATTCATCACAATATATTCCACCAAATATAATGGTTTATCCTCTGGTGCTATTTTTATTATATTTTTATTTTTTGGGGAGTGGAAATGTTAGAAGAAGAATATTTTGATACCAAAAGAATAATTGAGTGAATCAACATTAAAAATAATAATAATTTTGAATTAATGCATATAAGATCTATCTTTTGTCATAAATCTGTTTGGTAGGGGAAATATTTGCACCAATAAAAGCGACATAGAGAACAAGACTTGTCTCTTTTTGTGACATAAATCTGATAGCTATCGACTATCCCTCTTATAGAACTTTGTCGAGCTGACTAGGATATCACTCTGAGTTTCCCTTAACACCTTCACAAATATAAGAAAAATAAATAAAAATATTTGGATTAATTTTTTAAAAAACATCATTTTTACATTTCTTTGAGAGACCATAATATTTAGGGTATCTCTTATTTTTCATGAAACATCTTAACAAGATAATTAAAGCAATACTTGGGTACCAGTTGGATGAATTAGTTGAATTTCTCAGATTATAGTGTACTATTAATATACTTACATAGAAGTCTTATGTTTGATTATTGTTCTTCCTAAATCAATAAGTAGACCTATTTGAAATCGTATATTCATATATTCTGAAATCAATAAGTACATCAGAACTTTCGACGAACTCTCGAACTCCCAATGAAGTCTCGATTTTATCTCCAGCCCAACATATGTTTTATGCCTTGATCATTATCGTAGTTAATCTTGCACAATTAAAACCTACTTCCATCTAGATAATTATTATAAAGCTTGAATCATGTTGTCTGGTATGTTATTGGTTCATCGACGCTTCGTTCGATTCTTCGACGCATTGTCCTCTTTTGCGGCCTATTGTCCAATCGACCAGTTGACTTCTGCAATTTCGATTTTCTTTGCGTAATTTTCACTCTTCTTGGCCTGATGCTCGAACTCATGACCCGAAGTCTTCTGTCAATATGTTGATCGATCCTTCGGCTCGATATCCAATCTTGTGACATGTTTCTCTCCGGCCCAACATGATTCTTCCTACTTTAATTGTCTCTCCTTGATCGAAGCTTCCCGCGTCACTCAAAACACAGATAAAATAAACACTATCAATTGGTTTCATCATCAAAATCCGAGATTCAATAGTTTTTAATTAAATTTTGACTTCGTTTATTTCGTACAATAGTTTTTTTTTACTTCAATTATTAGTGTCCCTTTAGAAAATATGAAAAAGAGACATCTCACAATAAAAGCTCAAAAAGGAGGTTTTTTTTTTTGTGTCATGAATTCACCTATAAATCAATCTTTCTTAAATCTTCTTACGTAAATCTTAAAGATTTACCATTTTTTTTGTTTTTTTACTAAAGAAGCCTCTTTTTATATTTGTCATCAAAGTAAGTAATTGAATTTAGCATCGATTAATAAGCATAAAAAAAATACTTTTAACTTGTACATTGTTGAAACAATACCAACAACTCTAAGAAGAGGGGAAGACAGAATGAGATGAACAACGATCATTGTTGTGCATCAATTACCACTTCCTTCGATGCATGCATCAATTATCGGCTATTCTGATGCATGTACGCTGGACGGCATCCCGGCTTACCGATGACCAATGGTGGATTCCAATACCTCTCCCCTATCACCATCGAAGTAGTCTTCCCCGTCCTCCACAGGAAAGGAATACATACTCCGCACGGCTGAGCAACACTCGTCTTTCTCTGTGTGTCTGCGTGTGTATGTATGCGTGAGAGAGTGAGAGAGAGAGAGAGAGAGGATGGGGGACTGGTCATGCATTCTGAGAGTGGTCGACTAGTGTTCTATCCGTGACTCCCTCGCTGACTTCAAACACTCTGCCTCTTTCCTTCTTCTTTTATGTGTCATGTTCATTGCTTTGCCTCACCACTTTATGTCATGCCTTTGATTGATACAAGTAGCTTACGTAGGGAATGCAGCTTCATGGTAGCTCTGATCCAACTGGTCCAACGGTTTGTTTGATTTCAAATCGAATCAAAATTACTTACTTTGATTTCTAGTTTTAAAAAATCATAACCCACCTACAACTTGTGTGCAGATGAATCCTCCGCGAAAGGTGTTCTGATATATCCCAACAACGAAAGAACAAAGAAGTCAAAGCTTCAAAGAGGAATGAAGCATTGAGTTGACTGACTTCACGGTCGGTAGCAACCATGGAAGCACTACTATGGAGTCATCAACAACATGGAGTTGCAGTGTTGCCTTTTTTTTATTTCCAGCCACCATCATCTGGAGATCCGATTGATTACCGAGGGGGAGCGGGGTGATGATGGGATGGTCGAAGTGGAAACGTAGCTAACAGTATCATATGCTCGGCATTCATGAACATGGGAATCTCGAGCTGCTGCTGCTGCTGCAGCACTCGACATGGAGCAGCCGAAGCTGGCTGGCCAAATCATGAGCGAGTCGAGTCTTTTATCCCCTTTTGCTGTTGATTCATTTCCCTTTTTTCCATCACCTCGTCTCCTGTTTGTAAAGAGCCATTAATAACCACAACCCATAAGCATTGATGATCGATGCTTTGGTAGAGAGAGATGAAACTCGAGACTTCCATGGCGGCCCCCATGGCAAACATAATGTCAGGGAAGAGGTAGTAAGTAATATGCTGCTTGATTCCTACTGCACTCCCTCACTTGGTATCAATCAAATCACAAAGGAGAAGAGAGCCCAACACCTTTGTTTACCTCTCACCACACCCCATTCCTTGAATCATATTGATGTAGCTTTCGAGAGTTGTGTGTTCCTTCCATCTTCGTTTGCTAGTGCGGTCCTCCTCATGGGCTGGGGAGTGTATGTAGAAGTGGGACCTCCTCCTTGGTTAAGCACACATGCATCATCTAATGGCAGGCACCCCACTATGCAACCGCATCCACAAGTATTGATTCCTCGCCAAGCGGAGAGATACTTTGCTGGAAATCTTGGAGAATATATATGTGTGTGTGTGTGTGTTGGGATCATGACATTTCCATTTCCTAGAATGAATGCATCCATCATTCATTCATTCATTATGCTTATGAAAAATAAGTATTTTTCTTTATTTTTATATCATACATAATCTTTGCTTTGCTTACGAGGCTGGTACCGTTGATTGATATCTTGAATCTTCAACACACTCATGTTTTGGGTGCATCTTTTCTTAACCATCCAATCGCAAGTACTTCCAACTTATGCAAATGAGTAAGGGTTTTTTAACCCAATGAGATTAATATTTTAGATGTTAAACCTACTTCTTTTTTTTTTTTTTTGTATAGCTCAAATCTGAAAACTCTTTAATATTGACATAAAATGCTATAAGCTTAATATAATTTACTTCCGTACAAAACCCACCGTTATATATATCCCTTCGTTTCCTCCCCATTGTGACACTCCAAGGACAACTTCAACTCGCCTCTCTCTCTCTCTCTCTCTTGAAGGAGTGAGTACATAGGCATATGACGAGGCCCGGAGTCGGGTCGAACACAAGCAACACCGCCACCTCGGCCGTGCCGCACTCGGCATGGCGCTCTCCGGTCACCTACCTCTTCGGCGGGCTGGCGGCGATGCTGGGCCTCGTCGCCTTCGCCCTCCTCATCCTCGCCTGCTCCTATTGGAAGCTCTCCGACTACCTGAGCACCGACGGCGCCGACGCTGACGGGGGGGAGGCCTCGGGAGACGCCGCGAAGCCCCCGCCCCTCTGCGACAAGAGCGTCGTCGTCGTCATGGCCGGCGATTGCAAGCCCAGCTTCCTTGCCACTCCCGTCGCCTGGCACGCCGCAGCGAGTGGGAGGAAGATGGAAGCCTCGGTGAGCTCACCTAGGCGTGACGCGATCCCAATCCAACGTGAATTGGACCGCAACAGAGAAGAAAGCGGAAACCCGCAGTAGTAGTCTCGTTCTTCTTTGTTTCTTGTACTTTTAGAGGAAAAGAAGGGTCTTAATTATAAATTCATATCACAACAAGTAACAATTTGAGATGTTTGACCCAAAAAGAAGAAGAGGGAAAAACTGAGTACGAGGATGAGGAGAAGGGAAGGAAGAGGTAGAAGAAGAGAGTAAGACGCGTGTGTCAGCACTTCGGTTTCTTGATGAGCTACAAGACACACTTCCCTTCAACGGTTGAGCTCATCAAAAGGCTTTGGAAGTGAGATATGATGATGAGCTCTTGACATTTTTGTTTACGTTACAGACTTGCATGAACAGTGTGTGAGAACAAAAGTCTCATGCAGTTATCTAACCACCAGATAACACGTCGACAACGGATTCATATATGCCACGCGCAATCGCTCCAAGATCAGGAACGCTCCAGAAATGCCTTTCGGGAATCTCAAAGCCGATCGTCAAAGATTTTTTTTTTAAAAAAATAAATATTCTTAATTTGAATAAAGATATCGTTTTAGAGAAAACTTGATTGGTATAATGAATCACAATAGGATTTCAAAAGTTACTCTGTTCACACATCATTGAAAGGAGATTTTCTCTTTGACCTTTTTTCAAAAAAAAAAAGTAATAGTATTACCTATAAATAAAAAGTAAATCCTGCGGTGATCTATTGAGTACTAATTAGTAACTCTACTTTCTTCATTGAATGCATGAAAAATTTAAAGATAGGTGGTGACAAGGAAGGGTGCCGTCAAAGGGATAAAAAGGGGGAAGAGCAGATAAGAAAAGAAGTCAGATGAATTAAAAGCTAAAAAAAAGGTACTTTAACCAAGAGTGGGTCAAACAAAAAAAGACAAAGAATTGGGACTTATATCCAAAGAAAGCAACAAAATATAAAAAAAAGGTTGGCAGGCCCACAGGAATGCTTGCTTGGAAAGTAGGAACTCAACAGCCGAGGGAAACAAAAAAAAAGAAGTTGAGGTTAAATAAAGGAAACGATATTATTATTGAAGCAGAGTTCAAAACATAGAAAACTAAAGAGAAATTTAATTTATGAGAGACCTATTGAAGTTTTTTTAAGATAAATATCATCAAAACCATAATAAATCACGAGGATTTCCGACCTTCTATGCACGTCACCATCCAACGATGCGTAAATCGAACACTCTCAGGTTACACGTGTTGTTCAAATTTTGTGCTCTGCTAAAAAAATCAAGGCCTTGAAGAGAAAGAGGTATTATTAGCCTTTTGTCTCGCGTGTATAAAGAAAGGGGAAACTAAAGAACGAAGAAGTTGACACATCTCTTACGAAAATCCTACACCTCCAGCTTAAAATAATAAAACCTAAAAGAATCATGATCCAGTCATTGAACCACTACTCTACATGTAGATATGAATAATCAAACTTCAGGACAACGAGAGATTAAACTGGGCATGTTATAGCATCAAATGTGTGAGAAGAAAGAAAAGAAAAAGCTCACGTTTAATCCTTTCCTCGAGTTGTAGTTCATGTGTCCCCGAACCTGGGTCCCAGTTATGCTCGTCCCAAAGCTTAGCTTCCACCCGGCTTAAGCGTGTTACTGAGCCTGCAACATGAAACATTGGTTCCTATGAAGGTTATATCTATACAATAAATCATATCCATATTTATGCAGTAAATTATATCCTATGCTAAAATCAAACATACGAACTAAGTTCCGATGGCCTATGCCAAAGTGCACTTCTAAATCAAACAATTAGGACGAACTGAAGCACTCGCTATAAGCATGAATAGGCCAATGAATTATCCTAAGATCAGCAAAGTAATGACCAACGAGGAGCAAGGTTGATGAGAAAATAAGAAAGATCTACACTTCTGCTGCATCAGTCTACTACAATTTGGTAAGAAGATTGATCAATGATCAGTTAGCCAAAGATGGATGATATGGCCCAAAGTTCAAAATGATGTTGGAGATAAAATTCCTTGGTACTGGACAGAACTAGGCCTTTTAACCACTTAAGATTCGAGCTTTGTGTTGCAATTTTTGTTGTAGTTGCATATAGGCAATGTACATTAAGTGGTGATTCAGTCCTCAAGTTTAAAATTTCAGGGAGGGAGTCTTAAAACCATAAGTTGAACTTACCAATCCAGCCCCTCAAAAAGCCCTTCTCCTTTAATTGCTGAGGTTTTAAAAATTGCCCACTGACGGCTTTTTATCTTATGTAGTTCTAAGGCTTCAGTTATTGCAGCATCATCAAGTGCACCAGGGAGATCCTGCAAGGAAAAATGACCAAGATTGAAGAAGCAAGGAAAATTATGATTTAAAATAAAGCAACAAAAATATTTTTCATCCTTAAACAACTATCTATTTTTCGTGTTTAAGATTCTCATAACAAATATAATTTCACAAACATGCCATCCTATATCATTTTGCCATCTTTTGGCAACTTCTAATCCCTCAAGAGAAGAGATTCTAGTTTTCACAATTTAAAAAGTTCTAACATCTTTTATAAATTTGTGTGTATCAATTGCATAGACAAGACTGATGGTGTCTGACACATTCAATCACAGAAGCTGCCAAATCAAAATATTACGAGACCAGGAAAAGTTAAGCCAAGTTTCAGCCTTCCAACAATGAACATTTTCGGATTTAACAGTAAATCATACTTAGATAAGCATGACTAAGATAGTTGCAAAATTCACATGAAGAGAACTTGCTTAAACAGTCTAATTTAGTGGCCTAGAAGCTTCACCTGCTTGTTTGCAAATACGAGGACAACAGCACCCTTCAGCTCCTCCTCCTGCCATAGATATAGAAATAGCAGTAGTTAATATGAAATTATGTAAAATGCTGGACAACTTTATGTGTTACGTTTTGCATCACAAACATACATTCCATTAATGATTAACGTTGAATGCAAAACTCCAAAAAATTTAGTAGCTAAATTTAGATGAAATGTGCTGTCTTAAATTTACATAAACTTATTTTGGATTCTGCTGAACCGAACTGAGAGCATTTTGCTTTACAGTATTGTTAGAGCATATATCTTTATTCCTAAAGATTTTTTTCTAAACCCGTTGCTTCCTGCAGACCTACTATGCAAGGATAGAAGATTATGTCCAAATTTTAACTATCATAATTAATCCCCCATTTACTGTTTGTTATAGGACAAGTAATTAACAGGGAAGACAATTATCTGGTGGCATTTCCTACATGAAAAGGACAATCCTTCTACCATGTTCCACTACATCCCCTTTAAAATTTGTTGTATGGATTAAATTGATAAAGATTGATAGGATGTCATCCACATCAAGCTACCCAATCACCCAAATCTATAACCATAGGCACAAAAAAAAACGAACATTGAGATCTTTGATGTTGTGAGATATTGGAACATACTACTAATTGAAAAGGGAACTTGCTCATACAGAACACAACCAACAGACAACAAGCAATGAATTAGTCAATATGTGCAAAGATCAGCAAAAGGATGAAGTAAAAAAAAAAAAAAAGTGATACTCAACATTTCGGCAGACTTCTAGATCTTACTTTCAGACAGAGAACAAATATGCCTAAGAATAACATAATATAAGAGAAATAGATGAACACATATTGTGCAACATACCTCCAGGATAGCATGAAATTCATCCTTAGCAGTTACAAGTCTATCTGTGTCACTGGAATCAACAACATATATTACTGCTTGAGTGTTTGGAAAGTAGCACCGCCAGTATGGTCTGCAGAAAACACAGATTGCTGAAATGGTTTGTTCAAAAATTATTTCTTTTATTAAAAGAAAAATGATACACAAAAGGGGAGAAAAAAGGAACTAAAATTGCACTTTGTAAAGTAGAAGGTTTTCATAACCATCCCAGTAGTTAAGATAATCATGACTCTCCTATACTATATTTCCCATGCATCTACTGCCCATATCATCTTAAAATTACTGCTTCAACCTTCTCCACGAATAGTTGAATCACGCTTTGTAAAGGTCTTGGTTTCAATTTTGACCTTGTCGTTGGAGATGGCTGCTTTTGACTGAGTCTTCATGGTTTCAGCCAAAGAGATTAATGCCAAAAGAATAAAATATAGAAAACATTAAAGAATAGGCATGTTGTTCTAAAGAATATTACAATGGTTTTAGGCTGGACAGATAAAAAATATAAAAAAGATAAAGAGTTGAACAAATAAGTATATATTTTTATATAAAGTCATCTTAGTTATATCGCCAGAAAATACATATTCTACAACCATGCATTCCTATGGTAATATGCGTGTATTTTGGTTTTCAAAATAGAGTACAAAAGCTTTTCTTACATTTACTTATTTACTTTCATATATCCTTAAGTTGCTAAACAAAGGTTCAGATTCACTAAATCTCTTGCCCACAGACCCAATTGGCGAAAAACTTAAAAGTAAAGCCTTGTAACAATTTAAACAATACTAGTCAGAAACAGAAAAAGCGAATATAAAATAATAGCTTAATATTCTACAGTTACCGAATAAAAAAAAAATACTTTCGGCTGAATTGAGAGAATCGGTTTAAATAAGTCAAATTAAATTGAAACTTAAATTGGTCTCAGCCAAACTTGACCAGAACTGGCAGAAACTAGCAAACCAATTGAACTTCAACACTCATTTAAGTCTTGAATAGATCAATTCTTTTACACCAGAATGTCAAATTATGGTTCAAACAAGTATTACAGTAAGTCAGTAACATTATGTGGTTCACTTATTAAATAAGTTGAAAATTTCCTCAGACTTTCTATATATTACTAAGCTGTTCTTAATGCCATTCATCCCCTTATACAAAAAATAGGAGTTGTTTCATAAGGCATCATAATGGAAGAAAATATAAAGAACTTTGTACATATGCTTCTTAATAGTTTACTGTTTGAACATATGACTTGTACTGGCATGTATATTCTCAAAATGTAGAACACTCACATTCTATCATCTCAGTTAGCATATATTTAAGAGCCTCATACTTTTATGCGTCTATATGCAAATGTTTATTGGGGAGTATAGGAAAACAGTAGTAGACAAAAGAAAGTTGTATGCAAATACAGAAGTCACTATTGCCTACTAAATGTTTCCTGTAATTTGAGTTTATTCTTGCTGCACCATCAAATGTTAATACAAAATTAGGTTCTTTTATAACCTTACTCAAGTGAGGTGCATATTAGGTTATTGATTACAGATAGTTTTTCTCATAAACAGAGTCTAGAAACTTTGGCTATAACCATCACCCTTTTGGGTTTATAACAGCTTTAAATACATATATCATTTTAATTTTGATCTTTCCCTTCTCTTATGCCATGTCACACATTAAATTCAAAAGAAGAGAGAAAATTTCAATAGGAATGGAGTTCCACTTATTTACAACCAAAGGGTCTAATATTTTAAAAACTTTTTTAAATTGACCTACCAAAATGCCATATATAAGAAATCTAAGTTATCGTCTAAAAGTTAAGATACCAAAACAAAGCTAGCCTTTTATAACATGAAGATTAACATCTTGCATGAAATCTATTCATGTAAGTGAATAAAGAAATCCAAGGTATAATGCAATAATAAATTAAGAAATAGAGAAGTACCGAATGCTTGTCTGCCCACCTGTTTCAGCAAACATAGGGCTTGTATCAGACAGAGAATATTAAGTCAAGTGATGCAACAAACAAAATAATCAGAAATTACAAAAAAAAAAGCTGGTAAATATAAAGTTCAATATAATTAGACTGCTTATAAGCTAGAGAATAAAGTCCTTCATGCAGACTACACCGCATTAGTGATTATACAAGTCCAGAATAATCAAACCTTTCCATAACATGCTTGAACATTGATACTCATTGTATCTCATCCATTATATACAGCTAATTGTAAATACTAGGGACTAGAGAACTTACATCTCCATAGAAATATTTTCATATCAACATATTTAACATTGTACCACAAAAAAACCAAACAGCTTTCACAAAAGAGTAACTTCCCCATCTCAACATAGTTTCATATCAGTTTCACAGCCTTAAGCTCAGTGAAACGAGGATGATTGCATTCGGTAGCATGACGTAGATGGCAAGCATAAAATTTATCATTGCAAATATGAATTTGTATCACTTCTAGACACTAACTAGCTAGGTCATTGCTTCAAAATGATGTGCAACTACTATACCATCCAGTTACTTTAGAAAAGACAGGATAGTACATTAAGGTCACTATAAGTGATTTAAGACAGAACCTGAACAAAGTGGTAAATGGACAAAGGTTCATAATCTTTTGACCAGATGCAATTAAAGAAGTTCCAATAGATGAAGCCTTATTCGAAGCAGAAGCACAAGAACTAACCTCCACAAGTGGGGTTTACTCGTTGGTTGTGAATGTGTCAATGGGAGTTAAACATTGGTCATAATTTCATATACTCAGGTCAAAACTTTTAGCATGCATGATGTTCTCAACAACAAATGAAATTCTAAATCCTAGCTTCCCATGACAACCAAATTAATCACTTGCCTCCCTTGATTTCTCTCAACGCAATAGACGATAGAGAAATGCATCTAAACCCTCCTTTCTCCCTTGACATCCATGAACTTAACAAAATATATATAATCCCTAATCCCCACATTTCTAGGATCCTACTAAATGCAATGGCAAAGAACTGAGCCATGATAGCTAGCCTCCTACAAAAGAATCTTACCAAGGAAGTGGCATTAGTTTTCTACTCCTATTTTTCTTCTTTTTGGTACTGCCAACATGCTTAAGCAAAGCAGGATATACCATACCATGCCTGCCAAAAGTAGGCTCAAGGCTATGATTTAAGAAGATAATCCTTGGCTCTCACTTATATGAGGTTAGAGATTTTGTGTTGGTACTAGGTCATTTCTTACTACAAAAAGACCTTTCACTGTAAGAATAGCAATTTGGTTATGTTTTGAGGATAACATTAATAATTGCTTTGAATTTTATAACTTATATAACTCTAATGTATATCACCACGTATGGAGTCTGTTCTGAAGGACTCTATTTGGTATTCAGATCCTAAATAAAACATGTGAAATCCTTCTTACTCAAGTTAGTCTCTAGTCTCTATGAAAAGTGGCTGTGGTCATGTCACTGTTCATGCATTTGGGTCGGGGACATGAGTCATATAACAATACATTACTCATATCCATCATTGCATCGGTTCAACATTATCTAAAGCAAAATTGGCCAAAAGCACTCAGTTCCCACAAGCTGTGAGCATTCCGTAAATTTGGACTCTGACATATAGTGTGTTACTATAAAAAGGTTATTTGTAGTTATTTCCTTCTTCTTAAGGTTGACAACTTGAAATCTTTCCTTGTAAAATGCCAACATAGCAACATCAAAAGATGCTTACATAAAGAATTTCATGTTCAAGGAAAAAGTGTCACAAAAACTGACTAGTCATTGAAGATAAAGTGCTGCGTATAGGCAACTGAAGTAACATGTAATGATTAGTAAACACTATTCAGTACCCAAAAAAGATCCCTTAAAAATGCTAATTTTTTACATGGACCACGAATCTTCTCTATTTCATTGTGGACAAGAAGGTGAAGCAGTAAATATGGATCATTAAGTAGATTTATATTCAAACTCAGCTGGTTAGACACATTTGTTGCTCAAGTTCCTGCGGCTGGTTAAAATGATTGACATATGCAGCGAACAAAAACAACGAGAAAAAGACCCCAAGAAGAAATTGCATAGCAAAAACGAACTGAAATATCATAATTAGGAGCGTACGAATAGATCTTCCAACATACGAAACAACATAAGTAGAAGACTACATATACTTCATACAATTGGCGAATCAACGTACCGAGATCCCAAACTTGAAACTTAATATTATTGTACTGCACGGTCTCCACATTGAACCCGATCGCTGAAGCAGAGCAAAAACGAAAGAAATGAATCGATATCAATCAGCCAAACTCACGTACCGAACATAGAAAACCAAAATAGAAACTAAGCATCAGAGAGAGGGGAGCACCAACTTGGGATGGTCGAGACCACTTCCCCCATCTGAAGCCGATCTGACAAAGAAAGGGAACCGAATCAAACCACCAGATCCGAACCAGAGGGAGAACCGAAGGAGAACAAATAGGGTTTACGGGGTGTTACAGAGGATGGTGGTTTTCCCGGCATTGTCGAGGCCGAGCACGAGGATCCGAGCCTCCCGATTGCCGAAGAGGGACGAGAACATGCGAGTGAACAGAATCCCCATCTCAATCGATCGACCAGATCGAGATGCTCGAATTCCGCCCTAAAGAGACCAGATCCAAGCAGCGGAACCCTAATCCTGCGACGAATCGTGAAGGGTTGAAGAGATCGGAGCGAGGAGACCTCAGTTCCCACAGCTCGCCCAGGTCGGTGGTTGTTACCCTGCTGTCCTGGTAAGTAGACGCGCTTTATATAAAGATAAATAAATATATATATATATA